TCTCAAAACATGGCTTACAACTACTGGTCATGTGTCAAGCTCTCTGGCAGAGAAACAGTGTAACTCTGAGTGTCAAAGAAAACATGCAATGCAAATGCCATGTCGCCTATAAAACAAAACACACCCCACACATGCACACACACACACACTGCCAAACACATCACACACAACATGTAAATGCATCACACATGCACACACGCACCCATACATCACATATGCAGATACACCCTCTTCAAACAAATTACACGTGCACACGCACATTGTATATGCACACACAGATATACAGACCACATAAACACACCACACACATACACAGATACACACACATTACACATGCACACAGACACACAAACGCATCACATATGCATACACATATATGCAGACCACAAACTCAAACACATCACACATGCATACAGATACACACAATTACACACGCACACATGCACATACACACACGCTGGCTCTAGGCCAGCCCTCTGCCCTTAGAGCCCGGGCCTCACCAGTCACTTGGCAGTCTACCGGGGCAGGAACACAGGCCAGCGCGGTTTCAAACTCAAAGAAGGTGTTTCGGATTCCTCGTGCTGAGTTGATATCTTGATGCAGGAACTTGGGAGTTCCTGGGTAAACGTCGTCGTTGCAGACAAAGCGGATGATAAACGCGTCAGCAGTACCTGTGGAACACGGAGGCCTGATTTCATAACAAAACAGGAGTCACGATGCAGCCCTTGAACAGGTGCCCCACGGGGTGGCACCACCGCCAACAGCAAGCTTTGCGGGCGTCCTGGAAAATCACGGCAGGGCAACAGGCTGTGTCCAGGGACCAGATTGGAACAGAGTGGCCATACTCATTACCATAGCAACCCCTGCTATCAGGAGTTTATACCTCGAGCCTAAAATTTAGCATCCTTGGACTCCAGAAGTGTTTGAATCTCACATCAGTTTACCAATCCAAATGTTAGACGTGAATGGAACTCCCGTTGGTTGGTTTATTAACCAAATATGAAGTCCCTACAGTGATTAGGAGGCAACGAGACAGAAGGAAGCCCCTGCCCTCCGATATGCTGATGGCGGAGGGAACAAGTACAAGGCTCGGAGGGGTGTGGGCAGGCCGGCCTCAGAAGCAGGAGGCCTGCATACACACGAGGAAGCCCATGGCATCCCATGACTCCCAGGACACGGTGCCGTGCCACTGGAGGGCACGAGCTACTGGAGGGCATGGAGCTGGGGAGTGACACGATCTGACATCGTAAAAGGCCTCTGTGACAAGATGGAGAACAGAGAACCAGGCCCCACTGGGTGATGCGCCTTCTCTCTCATACACATATTCTGGCATTAAAAAAAAAATAAATACACACACACACACACACACACACACACACACACACACACGTCTTTAAAAATAAGTAAAATAACAAGCCGGAGGTAGCAGAGCTGAGTGCTGGTTATATAAACGAACTGAACCCCCAGCTTGAACCTGGATTCAAACCCAGCAATCACTGTAAGAGCTAGCGGCTGTTAATCACATGACCACACCAGGAAGAACATAAGAGACATATAATGTTCAAAAGTAGCACAAGAAATCATACATAAATAATTATTTCATTATGACTGAAACAACGCTCTAAAACTAGAGAACAAAAGAATTATTGCGAAGAACACAGTGTAGTTTTTGTTGAAACCGTGGCTCACTTTACAACCCTAAGTTTACAACCCTGAAGCTTCCACTGGAGCCAGCAGGTGGTATGGCGGTTGTGCTGGACTCCACATGACCAGCCATGGTTTAAGCCCCATACCCGGCAGCTTGAAACTCATGCAGGACACATGTACGTGTGTGCCCAAAAATCCCAAGAAGAGAGTGGAAGAGAAAGGGGTGCAGCATAGCCATCCCCTCTGGGGGCGATTTCATACTCTCTCTCTCTTGTCTTTCCAGTGAAAGCATGATGCACCCTATAGCAAACAATTCTCTTTAAAAAAGAAAAAAGAACTTTCAATCTATGAGCAAAGGATGACCACAGCCGCGTCTTTACCCTAAAGCCGCCAACTCTCCATCCCGGGCTTTGCCATTCAGCCTCCGTGACTAACTGAAGACAGGATCATGCCAGAGCTTAGTGAGGCAAGATGCCCTGCATCAGGGTTGAGACGGCCATGACCTTATGACGCTCTAGATGTGATGAGTGCAAACTAGAACCAGCGGAGTTGAAAGAAACCAGAGGCTATGTGCACTGCATTATGCCGAGGAGCTGAACACTCGCCTGCCTGGTCACCTTCAGGCAACACCTTCCTCCTGCAGCACGCATCACAACTCTAACTGAATGCTACAGACTGCATAATGGCAGAGGCAATTTCTTACAGTTCTGGAGGCTGGGAAGTCCAAGGGCATGATACCAGCACTGCTCAGCAACGAGGAGGGTCACTCCATGGTGGGAGGACCAAAGGAGAAAGTGGATGATAAGACAGAGTTCAAGCCAGTCAGGATACCACTTTCGACCACCTGTTCTCATGGAACTGACCCGATTCCTTGACAGCAATTACCCACCCACAAGAGCTCCACCCTCATGACCCAACTGCATCTCCTCAGGCACTACCTCCCAACACTTGCCTGGGGGATTAAGTTTCCAACACATGAATTTAGGGACACGTTCAAACCACTGCAACATCCACTTACTTTGACCAAAGTACTATAAAAAGTTCTCCTTCAATCAACCAGAATAAATGCTTTCTCTGTAACTTAAGCCTTTGGTCTAAATCCTCCCAAACCAGTTACACAGGACAAGCCTAGTTCCTTTTCTAAAGGACAGCACTTCAAAGATCTGACAGCAAGACCAGCAGGTGGCATAGTGGTTAAGGCAATGGACTCCCACATGGATGACTGCAGTATGAATTCCGGACCTGGCACTTAAAACTCACACCAGGTGTGTGCGTGCATACCTAAAATCCCAAGAGAAGCCTGAAGAAGATACTGCAGCATGGCCATCTCCCCTGGGGGGGGTGATCTCTTTATGTTTCTGTTTGTCTCTGTGTCTCTGGCATGCTTATGTGCCCTATAGCAAAAAACTCTCAAAAAAGAAGAAAAAACAGGCGTGAAGATCTGTCAGCACCCACTGGGCCCACGTGTCTATTCTCGAAGCTGTAAAGATTCCCAGCTTTTTATATTGGCCTTCACAGACTCCTTAAAGCCACTCCTTCACTGCCCGGGCAGTTCTGTCACGAGTTCTCAGTATCCTCGTCTGATGAACAACGTACAGAGTTTCAGAGGACTGCAGACCAGGGTCTCATAACCCAGAACAGCACCATCTCAGTTCCCAGACACTACCCCTCTAGCGTCATCTAGATGGCAGAACTCGGCCATCATCACACAACTGGCCCTCCGGACTGACAGGCAGGCTGGAAAGAGCACGGTTCTGAAGTCCGCCATGAGGATCTCAGCCCCGGACTGCTGTGCACCAGCTGTGTGACCCAGGCAAACTGCACCAGCAGGCCTCGGCTTCCTCATCTGCACGACAGACACGCAGGAACTGCCAGAGTCGTCATCAAGTCCTAGAGACTGGGTCCCAGCTCTGCCCTGGCCCAGCAGGGAGCCACTGGGTTTGTCCGGCCACATGCCTTCCTGGGCTTCTTACTGCACCACGCGGCGGTGATTAAAGAGAAGGCCATGACCACAAAAAGAGGAAGAGACCCACAGGGCGGGTCTAAAAACCACCCGGGTAAAATACCGCAGCACCTTAACGCAAGACTGGCATGTGAGAAGCACGTGACAAACCACAGCTACCACCACCGTCACTGCTGTCGGCAGAGCCTAGGGTCACTGCCGTCCGAAGAGCCTGGGCTTGACTTGGCACTTCATGACCCAAAGAACTGGTCACCAAGTGTCTGCTGTACAGCATGGATGTGGAAGAGTGGAAACGCTAACAAACTGAGCTCTGCCAAGTCAGATTTATAACCTAACCATACCAAGAAGGCTGAGTGGGCAAACGAGGAAAGAAAGAAGCTCCTTTGTTTTTTCCTAATCTACACCCATGACTTCTCCGGCACCTAAGAGAGACGTACTGGAAGGAAGAGTAAACACGTTCCACGCCACAGGGACAGCCACGATGCCGGCCGACGACACTCCGGGGAGCTGGAAGGTGGGGAGCTAAGAGGGACCGGCAGTGCAGTGCCATCTCACGAGTCACCAGCTACACGCGACACAGAAAGGCCTATTCCAAGCACAAATGGTATGAGGGTGAGCGTGTGACACCACGAAAACCCCAGAAGAACGTTACGTTATATACTTAGAAAGCTTCGTGGTCAGTCAATCCGCCAGGATACCACCATGACCCCGTTAAGCTGCCACCCCAACACGGCTCTGAGCTCACCTCTGGTTGAGGAAGGCCCTTTGTAGGTGAGAGTGATGAAGCCCTCAGTGGACAACTGGAGGCTTTTCTCGAATCCAACTGGCCTTTCCGGCTTCAGGTTCTTTAACTCTTCCGTCTGGGTTTCTGCTTCACAGCCAGAAGCTGGCTTTCCGTCTTCGACGGTCCCACAGGCCGGCATTGTGCCGCAGATGTTAAACTGTAGGCCAGGCAGTGAGAACCACATGAAAGAATTTAACCCACGTGACTTACACAGACGAGACCCCCGGCAACTCTGAGTCCCGCCGGGTCAAACACTGGCTGTTTATGAATCAATTTACCAACGTTCCACATTAGGGAAGTCCTAAAGCTACTACATCAGGAAAACTCAAAGTTCAAATAACGATGCCCAGAAATGAGCTCCAAGGCCCAGTAGCCCGGTTTTACTTACACAGCCCTAGACTTATAAATGCATAAAGACAATGCATATAAAAACATACCTTACGCATTAGAGAAAGTGTACACGGGCCGTCATTTTACACTGCTTATAACTATGCAGGAAGTATGCACAGTTCATTGGGTTAACCTTCGGTAAGCAGAAAGTGACGTCCTCGTATTACTTAAAGAGGCTGGCATTATTCCATTACAAATCAGTTAGGTTTCCTGCAGCATGTGAGAAGTGAGTGGGCAAACGAGGAAAGAAAGAAGCTCCTTTGTTTTTTCCTAATCTACACCCATGACTTCTCCGGCACCTAAGAGAGACGTACTGGAAGGAAGAGTAAACATATCTTCCGTCTGGAAGATATGCTTTCTCCGCCAGCTGCGGTGGCACAGCGGTGATGCGATACCTCCCACAGGGCAAGGTCCCAAGTTTGCATCCCAAGGTGTCCCTGTGCACACTGGGTAAGTGGACCCCTGAGATCCTGGAGGGCTGGGGGTGGGTCGCGGCCTCGAGATCCTGTTAGGAGTTTCTTTCTCTCTTTCTCTCTCACGAAAAGTAAATAAACTTAAAAAAAGATATGCTTTCTGTATGTGTTCAGTATTGACAAACAAAAACTACAGAGCTTAGAACTACACGCAGGAAGTGTTTAAAGACCAAAGTTTCCCACTTAAGAAATGGCCAGGACCAGCCTGGTGGCATCGTGGTTAAGCACTATGCACTGGAAGTTGGAGCTCGCATGCCGACCACAGTTCCAATCCCAGCCCTGGCAGTTTGAAATACACGCTGGGCATGTGCATGTGTGCCAAAGTCCCAACGGGAAGAGAAATGGGGGAATGGACTGTGTCACTACCACACCTGCTCTTCACTCTTCAGCGAGCACCCTCTGGCAATTAAAAGTTACAAAAGACAGCTAATGAGGACTAGACCCCCCACAGGTGCTCCTGTGCCAGGTCTGCTGTGTGTGGGGGACCACAAAGGTGGGAATCAGAAGCAGTCTCCCTTTCTTTCTTCAGGGTCTTCCCTGTAACCAGCTGGGCTGGGCTCTGCCATGTATGGGCACTGGGCACACCCCGCGATCAGGGCCATTCGGGACCCCTCAGAGACACCTCACTTGCAGCTCCAGCTGAGAGAGGCTGCAGGTAGCCTCCTGGGACAGCTGCCCAGCAGGACAGGGTGGCAGGAATG